AAGGGGTTAACAGTTTGTATGAAAAGTTTTCTGGGAAGGTTAGTTAATGTTAGAATCCTTCACTGGCAAGTTTATCAAACAATTTAACCATAAACACGTTAGCGACTGTGCCCATGCTATATTTATTTTTAATCCCTTCACTTTGGGGATGTTACTTTTAATATTTTATTTGGCTAATGTCTGACAATTTTCTTCAGCACAGAGAGGACCCAGTACCATAGAAGGGGTTAGAAAAAGTAAATAAAAGCAAAAGTAGGAAAGTTGCATTTGCTCCAAACTTTTTTTTTTATTCAAGAGATAAGAAACAAGTTTTGTTCTATAGAATTGTTTCTATTATATTTCCCAAATTTAATGAGTACTTTTGTAAACTACTGAACATGAGGAACTTGTTATACGAGCATGCTCTTTAAGAGAATTCGATGATACGAGGTTAAGGAATTTGCACCTTATATTCGCTATACGAGCGATATTGTTCGATGATAAGAGAAGCGAGTACAGTGACCACTGGGGTTAGCTATACTACAGAGTTTTCCTGTGAAAAAGCCATAATTTTGAGCAACATATTACTGTACTCACTTTAATGTACTACACTAAAGGGCAACAAATTTGATTTCTTGTGCAAACTATATGGTATTTATACTCAAATTATTTGCTATCTTGCAAGGATTCCAGCAATGCAAGTTCTATTCTGCTAAGTTTAGTTTGTGACATTTTATAATATAAAAACTTTAAGCCTAAAACTACCTTCACCCTGGGTGGGAGGAGGGGGTGAGGTGTAGTGTTGGCACAGCCGGGTGGAGGTTACCAAGTGTGTAGTTATCAGTTAAATAGAGTGAGTTTAAGTTTTTCGCTTATAAAATGTCTCTGACTTAACAAAATACAACTTAAATTGCTGGAATTCTTGTAAGATAGTAATTAATTTAAGTACAAACATTCCATAGTTTGCATTAGACATAAATGCTTTAGTAATTAACTTAGTACATCTGAGTACAGGTTTGCCCCTAGGACAATTATTTCTTTTACCTTTTTCACAATATGTATTTAGGATGGTGTGTGTGTATGTAAATGTATAAAAATGAATGAAGAGAGTTACGTATATCTACCCGAAAGTGTGAGTTGAAAAACAACCATAACACCTCACAGCTTGGCCCAGTAGCCTGGTGGTTTCTGTGACGAGTCGAACTTGGCTACAGTGCCATGATAAATCACTATTAAGCATTATTATATCAGTAAACACTAATAATAACAGTAAATCCAGTAAAATATGGCAGGGAGGGAGGACAGACAATTCGTTAACTAGCAGTCACACGAGTCACTCCTCTTACTTGTTGCCAAGTGTACGATCGAAATGCGTATGGGAGAAATACATATCTTGTAGTCTAATTTGAAAATGGTGATGGGTCCAGTGGAAAACAAATTTATATAAACCAGGCATTTACCTACAATAATATAAAAAACATTGTACTGCATCATGGCTAGAGTGAATGAAATATTGCCACAAACAACAATTGACAACTGTTTGTTTCCCACCTCCCGGTCAACCAGCGCCCATGGGCCTAAAATATTCTTTGCTCTGTTTACCCAGCTGAGTAGGTGAAACAAGCAGTGACGTGGTCTGTGACGCCTCTCATGACGTAGATGCTCAGAAACCTGTTTATGAGCCACTCAGCCAGGCTCTACAACCCTCCCCTACCTCCCTACCATCCTCCCCCCAGCCAGATGCTCAGAGACGTGTTTGTGAGCCACTCAGCCAGGCTGTACAACCCTCCCCTACCTCCCTACCATCCTCCCCCCAGCCAGATGCTCAGAGACGTGTTTATGAGCCACTCAGCCAGGCTGTACAACCCTCCCCTACCTCCCTACCATCCTCCCCCCAGCCAGATGCTCAGAGACGTGTTTGTGAGCCACTCAGCCAGGCTCTACAACCCTCCCCTACCTCCCTACCATCCTCCCCCAGCCAGATGCTCAGAGACGTGTTTATGAGCCACTCAGCCAGGCTCTACAACCCTCCCTACCTCCCTACCCTCCCCCAGTGTGCCAGATGTCAGAGGCGTGTTTGCACCCCACTCAGCCAGGCTGTACAACCCTCCCCTACCTCCCTACCATCCTCCCCAGCCAGATGCTCAGAGACGTGTTTATGAGCCACTCAGCCAGGCTCTACAACCCTCCCTACCTCCCTACCATCCTCCCCCAGCCAGATGCTCAGAGACGTGTTTAGAGCCACTCAGCCAGGCTGTACAACCCTCCCCTACCTCCCTACCATCCCTCCCCCCAGCCAGATGCTCAGAGACGGTTTGTGAGCCACTCCAGCCAGGCTGTCCTTCCCCTACCTCCCTACTGTCCCTCCCCCCAGCCAGATGCTCAGAGATGTGTTTATGAGCCACTCAGCCAGGCCAGTACAACCCTCCCCTACCTCCCTACTGTCCTCCCCCAGCCAGATGCTCAGAGACGTGTTTATGAGCCACTCAGCCAGGCTGTACAACCCTCCCCTACCTCCCTACTGTCCTCCCCCAGCCAGATGCTCAGAGACGTGTTTATGAGCCACTCAGCCAGGCTGCAACCCTTCCCCTACCTCCCTACTGTCCTCCCCAGCCAGATGCTCAGAGACGTGTTTATGAGCCACTCAGCCAGGCTGTACAACCCCCCCTACCTCCCTACTGTCCTCCCCCCAGCCAGATGCTCAGAGAGCCACTCTCAGCCAGGCTGTACAACCCCCCCTACCTCCCTACTGTCCTCCCCCCCAGCCAGATGCTCAGAGATGTGTTTGTGAGCCACTCAGCCAGGCTGTACCCTCCCTACCTCCCTACCATCCTCCCCCAGCCAGATGCTCAGAGACGTGTTTATGAGCCACTCAGCCAGGCTGTAACCCTCCCCTACCTCCCTACTGTCCTCCCCAGCCAGATGCTCAGAGATGTGTTTGTGAGCCACTCAGCCAGCTGCCCTCCCTACCTCCCTACCATCCTCCCCCAGCCAGATGCTCAGAGGGCGTGTTTATGAGCCACTCAGCCAGGCTGTACAACCTCCCCTACCTCCCTACTGTCCTCCCCCAGCCAGATGCTCAGAGATGTGTTTGTGAGCCACTCAGCCAGGCTGTACAACCCTCCCCCTACCTCCCTACCATCCTCCCCCAGCCAGATGCTCAGAGACGGTTTATGAGCCCTCAGCCAGAGGCTGTACAACCTCCTACCTCCCTACTGCCCTCCCCAGCCAGATGCTCAGAGACGTGTTTATGAGCCACTCAGCCAGGCTGTACAACCCTCCCTACCTCCCTACCATCCCTCCCCCAGCCAGATGCTCAGAGACGTGTTTAGCCACTCAGCCAGGCTGTACAACCCTCCCTACCTCCCTACTGTCTCCCCCCAGCCAGATGCTCAGAGACGTGTTTATGAGCCACTCAGCCAGGCTGTACACCCTCCCCTACCTCCCTACCATCCTCCCCCAGCCAGATGCTCAGAGGCGTGTTTATGAGCCACTCCAGCCAGGCTGTACAACCTCCCCTACCTCCTACCATCCTCCCCCCCAGCCAGATGCTCAGAGATGTGTTTATGAGCCACTCAGCCCAGGCTGTACAACCTTCCCCTACCTCCCTACTGTCCTCCCCCCAGCCAGATGCTCAGAGATGTGTTTGTGAGCCACTCAGCCAAGCTGTACAACCCTCCCCTACCTCCCTATCATCCTCCCCCCAGCCACCCTCTCCCTTCTTGCATTGTTTGAATCTGCTATCCCAGTTTATCTGCTTGTACTGAGTTGCATTTATTTACTGTCATCGCAATGCTCGGTATTCGGGAACGCATCCCTATTTAACCCATGTATTATTCCCACCATTTTACGAGTTTTCGCTTTACGAGCAGACTCCAAGGAACGTATCTACTCGTATCATCGAGATTTTACTGTATTATTAGATATCCATTTAATTAAAAAGACAACTTAACCCTCTCAGCCTTGAAAATAAAAGGCAAAAAAACCTATGCTCAGCCTCGCGACATCAACGTCCTTTGGGCTCTTATTTTCAAATAACTCAAAAACTATTCAGTGAAAGTGAATGAAATTTAGACGTTATTTGACAGACGTAATTTTCTTTGCGTGGGCCTTATTACCTTCCCCAAGACTTTCTTGGTCATTGTGTGCTTGGCAGTGCAGCATAAAGCCAGTGTCTCTCTGGCCTTTAGAGCGAGAGGAGGGTGTGTGCCGCTCGGCCCTTTAAATTATTCCCCGAGTTTTTGTGTTATATTATTTTTCCTTATACCATGATATTTTACATGCTTTGTTCTTTATTTTGGTTACAGTACATATCAATGAACACCTTAATACAAGGAAAATGTAAATGGAAATCGAGATGTTACTAAACATTGCCCTACTTTTTCAACTTACAGGTGTACCTGTACTTGAAAACAGTGGCTTAAATTTCAAGAATTTCCATTCTTTATGGTTTCATACAATTTTTCAAACAATTTTATGCTAGAAGAGACCCCTAAATAAAAGAAGAAAAATGTTCAAAGATTTTTCGGCAAAAACCTCCGAGGCTGAGCATAAGTTTTCATGCACGTATGTGTCTCGGGCTCCGAGGCTGAGAGGGTTAAGAGACTTGAATCTGCCTTGATTTAACACCCTCATTCTGTGGGGGGGGGGGGGATGTAATGTTAGGTTAGGTCAGCTTAGCATTAAGGTGCCTAATAATCAGATAATATTCAGGTGATCAATATATTTTCCCATCCTAGGAGAAAATGATGCCCTCCAGCAGGTGGTTATGAGAAGGTGTTATGACTCCCATATCAGCTGTTAAATACTGTATAGTAGTTGCTAGAAACAGCAATTTGTGTTACAGTAGCTTTGTTGTTCATTAGAAAATAAAACATTTATTGAAGAAATACTTTACATGAATGAGTGAAAGAGATTACTTGGGAAAAAAAATAATGGCAAACAGAGAGAAATTGGGAAACAATAAATTTAGAATTGTTTGTTCTAAAATCACAATACTGAGATGATTTTTTTCTTTGCAGATTTTCGTGCAGAGTATATACTGTATATAGATCTTTAGCAATGGGACTGTTAGAGACAGAGCTGGCAGAATTGAAGCAGTGTGTTCCTCGAGTTATTGCTGACAGTACAGTTGAAGCTTGTGTCCCTGCTATGGTTCGCATTAAAATTGAGTAAGTTTTATTTGTCAGTGTTGTAAATTATTAGGCACTCAGTAACTCTGGTTTCTCTCTATGGTATACTGTATATGTACAGTACTGTATATGATATGAGCAATACATAGGAGTTCAGGAGTCACTATGGAGACAATTTCAAAGGTCAATACAAGACTTACATGAAAGAGATACTTTCTTTACAGGTTGATGTGAGTGATTGTACAGTTGTAAAGTTGGAAGATGGCATGACAGAGGTGCTTGTGAATCCTTGGAGAAGTTGTGATGTTGAAACAATACAGTGGCCCCTCGGTTAACGAGCACAATTCATTCCAGAAGGCTGCTCGATAACCAAAAAATTTGTTAACCGAAACCATTGTTTCAATGGGTTTTTGGGTAATTGGTTCCAGCTCACCGAAAATTACATACAAACTAAAAATAAATGCAATTAAGTACAGTGACCCCTCGGTTAACGAACTCAATCCGTTCCAGAAGGTCGTTCGTTAACCGAAAAGTTCATTAACCGAAACCATTGTTTCAATGGGTTTTTGGGTAATTAGTTCCAGCTCACTGAAAATTGCCTAAATTCAACAAAAATGGTAGAAAAGTTCACTTACTTTGAGGTGTGTATGTAGAAGGCTCCTGGATGATGATGATGGGAATTAGAATGGGGGTGGAGGAGAAGGCACCCATAAAATTTTAGTTCTCTTGGTGTATTTCAAGATTATTTTCTTTAAATCAACGCTGCACTGCATTATATATTGTCAATATGTAAAATATATTTCAAAATGACCAATAATTTGCTTGGAAACACAGAAAAAAGCGTTTAGTTGAAGAGAGTCTCAAGCAAGATGTTACCTCCAGTGAAAACAGAGAGACTAACGCCTGTTTGCTGTGTTAAGAGGCTGGATGCCGCTCATTAAACTAGTCACTTTACCTTCAATTATGTTCAATAATTGTTAAAATGACTAAAAAATTGAATATTAAACTTTTAAAATTATTGAATAGTATAAACTTCTTGATATTTACTAAAATAGTAAGGAATTTAAGCCCTAGAACCGATTAATGTATTGGCGGACTGATACTAAAGCTGGTTGCCTGGTTAGTGCAAGCGAAAACATGTTGGGGTCGGTTCGTAAGAAATTCGTTAACCGAATTTTTGTTCGTTAACCGAATTGAAAATCCTTATGGAAGGCAGTTCGTTAACCGAAATTTTGTTAACCGAGGCGTTCGCTAAACGAGGGGTCACTGTACACTTACTTTGAGGTGTGCATGTAGAAGGCTCCTGGTTGATGATGATGATGATGGGAATTAGAATGGAGGTGGAAGAGAAGGGAGAAGAGAAGGCATTGGGGTTGAAGAGAAGTCACCCATTGCCGCCATTTCACCCATAAAATTTTAGTTCACGTGGTGTAATTCAAGATTATTTTCTTTAAATCAACACTGCACTGTGCTATATATTATCAATATGTAAAATATATTTCAAAATGAACAATAATTTGACTGGAAACACAGAAAAAAAAGCATTTATGTTGAATCTCAAACAAGATGTTCCTTCCTCTGAACTGGTAAACAAACTGACGCCAAGCTTGGTGTGTTGAGTGGCTGTTTGGCTTGCAAAATACTAATTTCCTGTACAGTTGAGTCTGGATTTATGCGGTTTTTGTTTACGTGTTTGGTCATTTACGCGGTGCCTTGCCAGAATGAAATGCTTAAATTACGCGGTAAATTTGGTCATTTACGTGGGTGAAGTATATTTTGTTCATTTACTGAAGATATTTGTTTTAGCTCATAAAATTCATACAAATTACCTGTCCAGAATATATTTTACATTGCTGGAATTCTTTTAAGATTGTGATTATTTTAAATATAAACATCATGGAATTTGCATTAGACATACAAATTTTAGGTCTAATGTAAGAATTTTGATTAGAAAGAGCCAAAATTTTATGTTTTGTGCAAAATATATGACGTTTATATTCAAAATATTCCTGGTCTTGCAAGGACTCCAACAGTGTCAATTATATTATCCTAACTTAAGTCTTGAGGTATTATTTATTACTAAAAATGTAAATACAGGTATACTCTTTTAACCCAAACATTTCTCTGGTAGGGAGGGAAGGTGGGGGGTGGGGGGAAGGGAGGAGGGAGGGAGGGACCCAGCGAGCGTGGGAAGAGGGGGGGAGCGGAGGTGGGTTTATTTTGATTGACAGATAGTGTCTGGGTGAAGTATAATTTGTTTATTTACTGAAGATATTTGTTTTAGCTCATAAAATTCATACAAATTACCCGGCCGGAATATAATTTACATTGCTGGATTTCTTATAAAATTGTGATTATTTTAAAAATAAACATCATGGAATTTGCATTAGACATACTGTATATCTCGGCCTATAAGACGAAATTTGAACCTTAAAAAAATCAGCCCAAAATTAGGGGTTGTCTTAAGCACCAGGTATAAAATTCTTACCTCTTAAATATTGTGGTTTAGCGTGTCAAGAGTGGTGATGGAAAACATTGTAAACCACTCACAAGGTCCTACCGCTAATTATTTTATCCTGAAACTTACGTTTGGGAAGCTGGATTAAAATTAAGATTACCGGTATATTAAAATAATAAAAATGTATTATAAACCTGTCTAACATACTGTAAAAGAACAATATACCCCGGTAATAAACACAGCTATCATCACCCCCCTTCCCCCTTCCCTCACCATTTGCCAGTGATGAGACAAGAAAGGGAAAGTGACCGTGACCGCTGTGGCTATTTTTAGCCGTCTTTGTGTTCGAGGTGGTCAGTAATGCGTATCGGTATATATATACTGATCATAATCGTAATTATAATCATATTTATTTAAAAACAAAATAAAAGTAAAAAAAAAACTTGTTTTTTGCAAAACCAGTGACTGATTGGTTCTACATAATTATAAAACTGAAGAAAATAAGTCCTCCATTGTAGCTGTATTAAAATTAATGTAGAAAAATTAATATGGTTGTTTTAAGTAATGTTATTTAATGTTAATAAATGGAACAATGGAAGTAGCTAACAATTAAGGGTAAAAAAGTGAGATCGCGTATGTAAGTGAGCACATGTGTAAACATATCGTCATTACTCTACATAAGAATATGAAAGCAACACTTATTTACTGTTCATATATATTTTAATTAATGTTTCTGAATTAAAAAAAAATTCTACCCACCAGTGGTTGTCAAGTTGAAAACATAAGGACAGCCAATGTTGTTGTGTGTGTGTTTTTACTTGGATGACGAAGTTGTATTTAAATTTGGAAGATTTTAATTTTGTGGGGTTTTTACAGTTTAAATGGGTATCCAAATATGAGAGCCTGCTGTAAATAGATGTCCAAATATGAGAGCCTACATATAAAGAAACAAACATTCCTGCACTTGAGACCAGCAGACAACCTTTAGCAATTCCTTAATAGATGGCGCTGCCGCACCACTGCCATTAGTAAACAAACCACACAGCAGCAAGGGTTTATTTATTTATTTTTTGCAATATATTAACAATATTAGTTAAATCAATAGTTTTATAGTACTGTATAGAGAATACTTGTAATTGTTAAGTACTGTAATGAGGTAACAGTCTTTGTAAGGGGCTGATTTCAAAAACCTCTGCTACAACTCATCGACTAGCATCCTGGAAGACGCATGGTAATTTTCGAGGTATATTTTTGTCATAAAAAGTGCGTCTTTTAAGCCGAAAAATACGGTAAATGGAAAAATTTTACTCACACCGACATTAGTTCCAGTTAAATAACAGACGCTTAAGTGAGTCACTAGTGTTTACACTACTGTATACCAGCTGGTAAAATTTGATGCCAACACTTGAAGTGAATTGGCCTTATTTTAAATAACCAACCATAAATAAATGCATAAATGAAAAAAGATCAAAGGTGAGAAACAATATACTGTATGTACGTTGTGTTGTCAAAGTAAGAGAAACAATTGAAACTCTGCAATTGTGTGTAAATGAGGCAGAAAGATAGATCAGCAACCCAAGATTTGGTCACAATTTTCATGATGCCATATGGAAGTAGGATCTACCATTAGACAATACTGTACATTATGCTTCCAATATCTTCCCAGGTGGTAGTATCTCCCTGTTTGGTAGCTGCCTACTACCTACACAACTTTTAGAAATATTAGTTTGCTACAACATGATAAATTAGACAAACAATGAAAATAAACAAACAAAAGTTATTTACCAAGACCAAGGATTCCAATAATGCAAATTATAATCTCCTAACTTTAGTCTGAGATAATATATAAGATAAAAACTGTAAGCCTAAAAGCCTGGGTGGGGGAGGGAGGGAGGGAGGGACTGCCGGAACCAGCCACGCCACCCAGCTAGGGGTTGGGGGGGGGGTAGGGGGTTGAGGTGATAAGTTTGAGGTGAAGGTCTCTGTGTGTTTATTTAACAGTCCTACTAAGCTTCTCTCATTTTAAAATGCCAGTGAAATGACCTAGGAGAATATAATTAACATAGCTGGGATCCTTGTAAGATACTGATTTATTTGAATATAAACATGTTGTAATTCGCACTAGACATAACAATTTTAGTACTGTAATTAAATTAGTACATGTGCACTCCAGCTTTGCACTAAGGTCATTTATTTATTTTACATTTCTTTTAGTATGGTGTGTGCATGTAAATGGATGAAAATAAATGAAGAAATTTATGTAAATCTACCCAAAAATACAGTTGAAAAACTTTTTATAAAATGTACTACAGTATTGTACACTAATGTACTACATTTTTTATATCCTGAGCAAAATATATGACGCTTATATTCAAATTAATCTCTGTCTTGCAAGGATTTCAGCAATGCAAATTATATTATCCTAACTTTAGTCTGAGATATTATATGAAATAAACATAAAGAAATCACCAACCTTTTATCTTGAACACGAGGGTGGTGGGAAGACGGTGGGGGGGGGGGTGAGGTGACAGAATGTCTGGCGTTTGTTTGTTTGTTTATTTATTTGAGATAAGATTTGACA